ACCTGCTGGCACTTGGTTTTTCAAATGTTGACTTTGCATGTTGGAGCACCAAGAAATAATCCATTGTTTTAGGTAGGAGCAAACCACACAGAGCAACTTCATTTATTTGCACATTATACTGCAGAACACACATTCTCTGGGTTGTTGTCTGTGTAATGAGTTCGTGGTTGTCTTTCTACTGTAAGAGAAATACCACATTTATGGAAAAAAAAAAAACCAACTCAGTTCCTTCAAACTCCTTTCTAATAAGAAAAATAGTCTCTTTCATGACGAGAAACATTTCTGTGATAATTGTTTATCAGTGGGTCTAATTTGCAGGTTCTCTATTCATTCTCAGATGGAATTTTAATTCAGTCTTAACTGTAAAAAGAAGTCTGAAATCTCTTCAGTTTTGGAGCCAGCAGTCAAACTCTTACTTTTGAAGAACTGCCTCTGAAATGCCAGTAAAGATTTTAACTGATTTGGAGGCAGGGAGTGTCAATAAGGATATGGGTAGGATATGTGTATTCTACACATCTTGTATAGAATAAGCTCAAACTCATAATTTGGGGTAATTGATTTCAGTCTGCTGTAAATATTCTAGTTCCAAGTGGCATGGTTTGAGATCAAGCTGAACAGAATATTGGGAAAACTGTTCTCCTTAACCATCTGCATAGTTGCAAACAAAAACATGCTCTGTGTTAGGAAGACGAAGTGTGACAAAGCCCAAATCACATGAACTTATGGTCACCAGCCACAAAAATGAAAACATGCCCTTGTTACCTTTGGCAGCCTCACATTTCAGTCTGCAGTCAAATGCAACTTTATATTGGTATTTAGGTAAAGTACTACTCTTCCTGGAGGGCAGAGGGGGTGTACTTATGAAAGTACTTGTTAACTCTTTTTAACTGTGTCTTGGTTAACAAGACGTCGGTAACTTGTCACCAGGGTCCAATGAGACAGAGAAAGTCTGGATGATGCAATTTCTCTGCTGTGTATTGCAAACTTTTGACTTAAGATTGCTCAGTTGGCTGCAGGGTTATGTTTAAAGCTTTCTGTTGAGCCGAATTATTTTTTTCTGGGAGATGGGGAAGGAGAGAAACTTGTCTTCCACTTGTCTGCCTCTTGTTCAGATGATATAATACTGTTGCTGTTAGATATTCCTTAATTGGCTCTCAACACCAAAACTTTGTTAATACAAATTTTGATTTCATTGTGTTTGCTTCCCACAGGAGGAAGGCTGGGGCAATAAGAGCAAAGCAGCAACACGAGATACCCCCTAGATGCACTTGATTCCATCTTGTTTCCTGTATCTGGTCATGTAGTCTCTGGTCCCTGGTATCTCCAGAGCCCTACACTTCAGGTAGTGTCTGTGAAAGCACCCTGGTGAGCAGACCAGACAGTGCTGAGATAGAGCGAGCAAGAGATTTTTAATTGCTGTTAAGCCCTTCTGGCTTGGCAAGGTTTGATACTCAAATATGTTGGGACCTTTAGCTTCTCCATGCGGGGCTGGGAACTGTCTTCTAATCTGTGCAGTGTTCTGGGTGGTAGTGAGGTTTCAAAAGTCATCTAGGAGCATAATGAGATTGGCTTTTTTGGTGGTTTTTGTTTGTGGAGTGTCATTGGAGAAGCTATCCTTTTTCAGTGAGAAAAACCTTTATTTCAGTAGCATCACTAACTTGCCAAATTACTCTTTTATTGTAGAATAATAATCCTATTCTTTTTGAAAAGTATAGCAGCACAGTAAGTGCATCCCACTATTCCACAACCATTTATTTCTTTCAGTAACAGGAAGAAATATATGCTTAGTATTACACAGCAGCTTAGTTTATTTGGAAATACGTTTAACTTTGCACTTCAGCACTTTTGTTTTTCTCAGTAGACCAAGATTCTTGCCTCAATATAGCTACATTTACCAGTTCATAGACAAAATAATGTGTCAAATCCACCTTAAATTTTCTTCTTTTTCTGATGCTATGCCTTCTTTCTGAAGTGATAAACAGCCGTGATTTCCTGAAGAGATTTTGGGTGCTTCAGTCAACCGATGTCCCTCTTTGCAGAAACAGGTATCTGAAAATCAGTTCTGAAATGATGCCAGTTATTCAATGTAGTCATGTAAAGATACTTGTCTGATATCTTCTGCGGGTTTTACATATGGGGATTGCATAATGTGCTACATTTATAGGATCATGGAAGTTAAAGCCCCACATTGTACTTGGGAATACTCAGTGGTTTAGTCTTATTTTTGAAAACAAGGACCAATACTTTTACACGCTTAATTCCTTCCTAAGCTTAGTTTGTTTAATTACAACCATTAGGTTTGAAGTAAGCCATTAGGGCTCTCCTGTGTTCTGGATGGACAACACTGTAAGCCACTGCTGAACACAGTTGAGAATCAGGCCTCAGAGTCTAAAAAATCCAGGACTCTATTGCTAAGCAGCATCACTGCCCCCCTTCTAAAGGAACCACTGGTGCAGTGCAAGCAAGCTGTTCAACCCACACAAATAAAAACAGGACTGAAGCATTTGCTAATTAAAAACAAAACAAATTCACACAAAGAAAGTCTTTCAGCTGAGCCAGGCTAGAACTTCTGAAAATGAAGTTCACTCTCATTAATACTGCTGCAGTTCAAGTCCCTTTGAGGCACTGGCTGCTGGTGCTAACTGTATATGAATATTACATATTCATTACATATTCATACTTCCTGTGTTTCCTCTTCATTTTAATTAAATGAGGGGGCTCTGTAGCCTAGTCTTGTGTTGCATCCCAGAAATATCTAGCTCCGTTTCCTGTTAATGAATGTTTTTTCATATTTCATACAAACCTACATCCTTACCGGTTTCACTTTTCTTCCCAAGGGACTATAGATTCTGTGCAGTATACAGGGACCACCCCAGTCATCAGCACAGCCTGGTTTGGATACACTAATGTGCATAACTCACCTCTTGCCTTACAAAAACTGCACGAAGTCCTTCTTCAGGACTCACCAGCATTCGCGATACTTGGTTGCAACAGTTGATCCTCCTGAGGCATTAAGTTTGGTGCTTCACTACAGTTTTTTTCCTAAATTTCATTTGCCGTTGTTAACGGCACTGAACATCTGCCTCTTAAGATAGCGGTGGTTCTTGATGTCTTAATTGGGTACCAGCAAATTCAAGAGGCTGTTGAATTTTACAGAAGCCAGTGGGTGTTTCTTCCCCTCCAGTGTGTATTTACCCTTAAAAGCAGTTTTCCCCATAACTCTTAGTGTACACAGGTGCTATACAGAGTCCAACCCATACCAGATACAGTTGACTGACAGCTACAGAGCTTAATGTGATGTTGTATGTATCAACAAGGATACAATAACTGTATATGACTTTTCAGCCTTTGGATATGTTTTGTCCTCTTCCCTGTGTCTTTGGTCAAAGTAATTAAAGTGCTTCATGTCTTACTCGAAACCTTTTTGTATTTTTTTTTCCTTCTTAATCCTTAAACCTTAAGGAACTTAGTGATGTAGGTTCTTTGTCTCAAGTGAGTCTGCAGTACTGAAACAAATGATTCTGGAAATGCAAATGTTCTTCATAGAATCAGTCCAATGCTAGGGATGAGGTTTTATTTGTACAAGAACAGTCTGAGTTACTTTAGATGGTGTCTATCTCTTTGAACTGTAATAAGGTACTTTCTCTCTCTAAAAATATTACTGTTTATCCTTTTTGGGTAACTGCTGTTAATTTTTTCTCCTTTCTTACAACTGTGGTTCCTTTGTATGCAAGTGCACACTTCACTTAGCTGGCTTCACAAAATGGAAGTTCCCCTTGAAAAACTTTATTTTAGGAACTTTTTGCTGGCTGTTTGTTATTTCTAAGCCTGAGATTTTCACATTAGACCCATGTATATTTATTTTACTATTTACACCTATCACAGTACACTTACATGGAATACCATCACACAGACAAACCAGCTACTGACAGCTAATATAAAGATATTTGATTCCACAAGGCTTAATCTGCATAGAGAACAGAAACACATTTAATGGTGAAACACAGATAAGTCTTTCTGTATTTCCCTTAATTTTAAACCAATTTTGTGTAAAAATTTGATCTTCCTACCACAAGTATTTACTTCTGTATTTGTATATTTGTCTCGTGATCAATTTGTCTTGGATGGCTAGTGTCTTCCTATACTTGATAGTTTGTATTTCTTATGGTCATGAAATATGCAATTAATAGCTGTTTTAAGTATTGTTTAAATGTTAAGTTAAATTTTGTTTGTCTTCCACTCTCCTCCCAGCGACCTACCAGTGATATGTAATCTTATACTGCATGTAACTTGCAATAGTGAACAAAACTATCTGGGTGAGTATTTCTTGGACTCTGTGAGTGGGGGATCTAAAAGAGAAGTGACATATCTTTGGACTACATCATCTATTTGCAGATTACTGTAGCTGTGCTTGCTAAAGCTTTACCAGAGATTTATTTTCCAGGGTGCAAGCAACATTAATTTGACTTGAGTAATTCAGAATTACGGGATATAAAAATAACTCTATTTGCAGCATCCTTGACACTGATCCTCATTCTTTAGGCAGAATTGGAAGTGAAACTCCACAGCAAAGTAGTTGAACATCACACTAGTTTGATAAGTATCTTGTATGCAACATCAGTTATCCTAAAGTTGCTTCATCTATCGGTTGCGCTATATACAGCACTGCTACTTGTGGCTTTTGTTTTGAAAAGTAGCCAAAATGGGATATTTCAGCAATTTGAGTGCTGTTTATCAAGGGGGAAAAGTGTACAACAAATACTTATAAAGTGATGGCCTATTAAAATTGCTGTTTTACACCTTACTGGATGAAATATACCCTCTTTTCATTCACTTTTGTCACTGGGGTGTTTTTGTTGACTCTACTACAGATCTTTTCTGGTCACTGGACAGCCACTATATAGATTTCTTTTGTTTTTAGGCATGCGTGTTGAGTGATCCATGCAACAGTGAAGAACCTGCCATTGTACATCCCATACATTACTGTTGTACCGGTTGCTCTTGATTCTATTAGCAGGACGCTGTTAGTTCCCCTCACCCTACAGTTTCATTCAATGAAAACATTTGAAAAGACAAACATGGTAGAGAACCCAGAGCTACATGATGTTGCATTGTGTGGCCCCACAACAATCTTTAATAATAGCCAATCCTGCTTTGGCAATGGTGGGCTTGCTTGGAGGAGGTTCTGCCTTCTTTTCTGCTGGGCTGCCTGCAATATTCAAAACAGGACACCATTAAAACCAAGAGCTGGTCAAACTACTTCTTCCTACTTCTGGCTTTAAAGAATGCAAGCCTTTCCTACACCACCACACCCCCACCCCCCCGATTTTTTTAACCCTTGTTTGAACAATACATTTAACACTGGTAGTAACCAAGTGGTATGTGGATTCAAACTGCTCGGGAAGTCTTAACTCTTCAGGGGAGGGAGTTAAGAGGGGCTAAAGAATCTGGACATCTCAATGGGAGGGTAACACTTCTTGCATCTTGTTCAATCCAGGTGTCTCTGTTCACAGCCATAGGGTCAGATAAAAGATCCTTCCACAGACAGTCATCTTACTGTGTTTAAACCCAACAAGTAAGGAGTTGAACAAAAATACTGCTAGAGTGTATTCTCTTAACAACTTGGATGTCGTAATAAGGAGAACAAGATAAAGGTAGGCTTTAATTTTTCAGCGTGAAAAGAATCTTATCTCTAACATTGCATTTAAAAAGCAATGACATGGATAATTGGGCATCTGAATTGTAAGGGCCAGCAACTGCTGATATACTATCTTGTTTCAGGGTGATCTAGCGAGATTAACCTAACTTTTGGCAAAAGCTGGCCCAGTATGGCCTTTGAAAATGCCCTTTTATCAAGTTGTCTTTTGAAGTTTTTCCTATTGTTCTTGTATTTCTTAATGTTTAGGAACTCACTGGTAGGAGATTGTGTTGCTTTGTCTAAGGGTTTTAGCTTGGTGCGAAGGAATTCAGCCATCTCTTTGTCTTCTTCTTTCTCTCTGGTGGAAAAAAAGGAAAATAAATCTGTTACAGAAATAATAAAGTTTCTCTGTAAATGGGACAGTAAAAGCTAGAGTAGATAGGATTAAATCACTAGTAAACAATTCACTTTGTTCTTTTTAATAAGCAGCAAAATTAAGTGTTTTTAAAAGGCAAAATATTTGCCTGAATGAAAACTCTAATGAACTTCCTGTGGAATTCAAAGACAGAATTTTCCCCAAGATTCTTTACTTTTCTCTGATAGTGTTGGATTCGTTATATTCCCTAGTCAGCAGATTTAAACCATAACATATCACCTATTCTAAGCTGGCTTCATAAGTGCTTCGCGATGCTTCCTCTACAAGGTAAAGCAGAGGATACATACTGCTGTGACTCTAGTACTTGTTTTAAAAGGTCTGCTTAGGCAAAAGACTGTGTGTCATAGTCTTCTGCTGTTAGTGTTTACCAAAACCAAGTACATTTCTGTTTGCCTGAAGATGACTGCATTAGGCCCAAAATAAAAATGATTATGTTGCTAAACTTTGTATCTATTAATGATATTTCCATGTTAGTTTCTTTGCTGTTTTGTTACTTAAATATTAACGAGTGTACTCACTGAGTATCTCAATTTAGAGGAAAAGCAGATTTTATTATCCAGAGTTTTAAAGAAAAGCCTTACCTTTTAATGCAAATGTGAACTGACACTAATGTATTCACACCTGCATGGTGCATAGCAATGTAGTTTCAGTAGCCTGACCGCTGCTGAGGTTTTTGCAATTTGCACATCGAACTAGCAGTTGAGAGCTCTGGATTACCATTACTAGCTTGGCCTTCTTGTCAATGTTAACTTTGGCCAGCTCTCTTTTTGATCAAGCTGCAAGGCTCTGGCAAGCTTTCTTCTCTCCTGTCCTTTGCTTGCTTAGAATTTAAATGTGTTGGAAGAGATCTTGTTATTTAGGATAAATGGATTGATGAGCCTTGAATCTTTACTGTTGAAAGACAGGGGAAATAATAGCAAATCTCTATTTGTAGAGTGCTGGGATCTCCGAGCAGCAGCTGGAAATGAATTTTTGAGGAAGACCACAGGTTTCTCAGGAGCTTTGAGCTGAGATACTGAGAAGCAACCATTCTGAACTCGCTTATGCTTTAGGTTAGGTAGGCCTGTGTTAGTGATTGCATTCTCTTTTTTTTGCTATGGCAACGTGAGAATAGTAATAATAAAACCCAACCACATTAATAATTTCTTTAAAAAAAAAAGAAAAAAATATTTGTAGACATCTAAAATCTGCCTTTGTAGAATTCTATCTCATGTCTACTTCTCATGCTGAGAGGATCTTCTGATACCAGCAAAAGTCCTCTCTTTAATGGTGTATGCCCAGACACTTTCTGGTAGGAAAGTAAGAGACCAAGCTCTGCTGTAGTCATGAGATGACTGAATCATTAGTGGGAGAAAGAGCCACACAAGTGCAGTAATCTAGTTTTAATGTTTTTCCTATGGAACTGGGAGGAGGAGGAGGCCTTTAACTTGGTAAGTTGTTTTAAAGGACTAATTCCCATTAATGTCAATGTAAATTTTTGTCGCTCACTCCAGTGTAGTATTAGACTTGTGAAATCTCATGAATAAGTTCAATTGCTTTTAATTCTTACCGTAATCTTTCCACCTCTGCATCATCTACAAGAAAATCTCTTTTTTGTACCAGTCTGTGGATCTTCTGAATCAGCTCATCCTCTCGTTGTTTCTCCATCTTTGTTTTTTCTTTTTCTGATCAAAAACAGAGAAAAGAGACTTATTTGGCTTCTAGGGGGCAGGGCAGGGGGTGGGAGTGTGGACACTGCGGGTATCTAAGAATGAATTGCTGATTGAAGTCCTATGGTTCTTCACACCTGAGTCACCAAAACTTCAGCAAGTTCTGGTCACTGCTTCTTTTCTCTCTTCCACTTGCTGCTGTTGTGTCTGATCAGCTTTAATGGTCTGGAGACTCTCTGGGGCTTTCCAAGCCTACTTTTAATATTCAATTACTCTGCAAGACACTGCTTTGAATTTAAGAGCTTTGGTAAGAAAGCAGTTCAGGATGCTGCATTAAAATCCATGGTACAAACTCCCTTTGACCACAGGGGAAGTAAGACCACACCAAAAGGAACCATTTTTCTGTATTTCGTGACAGCTTTGGCTGTTGACTACAACACTTTTTTCTACTCTGCAGATCCACACAAATAGCGTCAATTGTAAAATGTGGAAAAATAAAAGTGTTTGTTTTCCCTGTGCGTCAAAAATATAAGTAAGTAATGTGTCACAGAATCACAGAACATCTTGAGTTGGAAGGGACCCATAAGGATCATAGTCCAACTCCCTGCTCCTCACAGGACTGCCTGACAGTAAACCAAACATCAGCACACTCCCAGCTGTCCTCAGGCTCACGTGCTTTGGGCTGCAGTTGCCATTTTGTACTGGGACAGGGACAGGGGTTCCAGTTTGCACTGCGATGGGGCCCAGCCTGTATCGTCCTTGTTAATTGGCCAGTCTATAATGTCTAGGTTGTCTATAAATGATGATTTTTGTGACATGTAAGATGTGCCTGTCACAAAACTCATGAATGTTAGGTATTACAGAGCTGTAGTGTAAGGTTATAAAGCAAATGTAGTTAAGACAGAAATCTTCAAACCTAGCAAGTGGAACAGAGATGATAAAGCCAGAGGCAAATCCTAGCCCACATATCTCCTCAAGAAGCTGAAAGCTTCAATTATCTGAGAGGACTTTGCATTAAATCAAGAATTTTGGTTTTGAGCAGTAGAACTGTTGTTTATAGAACCATAATTAAGTACAATAAGAGTTGTGGGAAGAAGGGCAAGCTGCCTGCAGTCTGCATCTGAGCTATGTTATGTGTGCTGATTGAACTTAAATATATAAAGATACTTCAAACAGCTAAATAATTCAGACATTTGAAAATAATTGTTTGATACAGCTTAATTTTGGACCATGGGCTTCAGGATACCTACTGCTGGGAATTTCTGAAATAAATCCATACCTTAGTAAGTGAGATAAAAGCACCTCGAATATATTTTCAAGACAATGAAATTCTGTAAGTCTCAATCTTAAAATTCTCCAAGGAGCATGACTTTAAATTATGGTCTGCCAGTAGCAGAGGAAATAATTTGTGGTATAACATAAAGCTGCTTTGTCTGTGATGCCTTTTCTGTGTTTTATCTTCCAGAAATTATAAATGAAGGTGGTTACTGACTATGAAGATTTCAAGACTTCTACATTGTTACCTATGGAGAATTCTTGTGATTAATACTGAATTTGCAGCAGAGTAAAAAAAGGAGAATGCTTAGAAATCACTGCTTTTTCTTGCTTTGCCTCTTATGTCTGTGGAGCAAGAGATCTCCTCTCACTACTGAAAGTAGAAGCTACTTTCTGCTTCCTTTCCATCTATCCTATTCCCAGATTGAGATACACTCTCCCACAACATCCTTTAGGAAACTGCCTGCCAACTATATGCATCCTGAATTGTGGCAGTCTTGCATACTCTGTGTACTAAAAGACTGATCCCATGTCTACTGAAACTGGTTAAACTGTGTCTATTGAAACCAAAGAGCAGGTCTCTATAAAAATCTGTATACTAACAGGAAAATTATGATAAAGAT